GGAGCCCGCCCAGCCTGCAGGAGCTGTGGAACTCGTCCGCCCTCAGGAACATCTCCTACCGCTACCTGGCCGGCCTCCCGCCGCCTCGCACCCGTGAGTAGCCCGCCGTGCCTCCCCGCCTTCACCGCCACCCACTGGCCCCCTTTGTCGCGTCCCCTCTGTCGCAGAAGGGGCTCCCAGGTCCTGCCCTCTGCCGACTCCAAGGTTGGACACAAGCGGGAGCCTTGCTAAGTCAAAGGGGGTATTCACAGCACAGGGCGAACCCAGAGCAAAGGTGACAGCAGCCCGCGGCCTTCATGCGATCAAGCCAGATTGCACAATGCCCCCCCCACCCCGGGAAATTACATCGAGGACTGTGCGGGTTCAGCTTGAACGGCTAAACTCCCAGGGTAGTGGTTCTCAACCAGGTGTGGAGGCACCCCAGGGTGTCATGAAGGGGTGCCGTGGGATGCCACGCGGTGTTAGTGCTGTTAGGCGTGCAGATGCGATTCGCCCAGAGAAACCCACCGATTTGAAATAGGAATCCGCGGTGTCCAGCGTATTCCACCTGTCGTGGTCTCTCCGAGTCCTTGGCTGCGGAAGAGTTGCTCTACTTTACTTTTCTTTAGTCAAAAAACAAGTGAAAATGGAGGGCGGGCATTTTCCACGGGGTGCCTTGAATCTAACAAAGGGTGTCTTGAGTCTGCCGAGGTGGAGAATCGCTGCCGTACAGCAGTGACAAACTGCCTGCTGCCAGCTGGCTTCAGCAACAACGCAGGCCGAGTGCAGACAAAACCACCTCTCTGCTTGGGAGGAGGAACAGTTGTGAGACATTCAGAAATTATTCACCCTCATGGGAGCAGACTCAGAAAAGAAACAGTGCTGGGCTGGGCTGTGCTTCTGCTTCAAATGGAAGGAAACGGTGTTTCCTTTTGTTGCTAATGCACACTGCCACCCAGTGGGACAAGCCAGCTGGTAGGTTTTAGCCCCACTGCGGGAAACTCCCTCTATTCACCTCTCTTTTGCCTTTTGC